AGTGTGAAGGCTGTGGGTTCAATCCCCAGTGTGTGTGTCGGGGGGTGGATCAACAAGAGAAGTAGAGGAAATGGGTAAAGAGTAGAGATGAATTGTGAACTACTGGTATGTGTGTGCCTGTGTGTAATGTTTAAAGGAAACGGCTCCTGCCAAAAACAAACAAAAAACCCAGAACGCAAGAAAAGTGTCATGTGAAACTACGTGAAGGAAGCTGACACTTTTGAAATAATTAGCTGTCAACCTAAATGCAGCTAGGAGAAGGTGCTGGGTGTGGTAAAATGCAAAAATGTGTGTAAGAAATAAATGACTGTCCTACACAGTGACCTCTAAGGCAACTTCCTATGCCTGTGGGGGTGTGATAAGTCATAATAATAGTAACAAATGGCAGTGTAGTGTAGGAAGTGAAGTGGGATTTGAATGCTGAAATCCCAGTAGCTACAACTTTGGGCAAGTCATTTAATTTCTTCTGAGGCTTAATATCTTCATTTGTAAAAAGAAGTCAGTAATAATTCTTGTACCATTTCACAGTGTAATTTACTAGTGAAAGTCTTTTTAAAAGACTACTAGTGATATACTAGTGAAAGTCCTTTTAAAAAGCCAACATCTGGCAAGGTCAACACGCACAACTGGGTTTGTGAGACACTAATAACATCTGCTTCTTGCTCTGACACTAGCTATACTCCTGTGTTCATCTGTGAAAAGCTGCTGGAATTTCCGCACTTCTTTGTACATATACTGTAGTCCCTCAAGATTTTTAATTCTTAAAAGTCAGAGTAGCTCAAACTGATTTTTTAAAGTTAGGATGATTATGATCATGACTAGAAAAATTATAAATATGAGCCAGGAGCCCATAATTTTAAACTGCACTTCCATCTTAGTCACCCTGTCACACCTGAAGGCTCAGGACTTATAAGGGATCGATGACAATCATCAGTTGTTTTACTTTGTGTGTTTTGTTTGTAACTGACTAATACTTTCCTGGTAAAGAAGCTGGATGAATGAACCAGTAAGTTCCCTGCACACTGGAAGGGTCAACAATAAAAAGGAAGGAGCCCAAGCTGTTCACCTCAAGGGAAAGATATGATTAGAGAGATGGGACATGCAGAGAAATTATCTGAAAAGTGAAGTCAGTTGGGAAAGTATAAGCCCCAAAGAGCCCTGAGCAGCTGGTCATGATCAGATTCTCCATCTTTCTGTCAAATGTAATTGTATCCGAGTTGGCAGGGTATTTATTGCTAAAGTCGAAGGGCCAGATTTTACACTAAACATATTTACACATTTATATTCGTGGCCCTCTAAACACACCATGTTTCACTGGCTGTGACATCAAACACATTTACCAACAAAAAACATATGTCTAATTACAAAATCATAGGGGAGAAGGGAGGCAGTGGCAGCTGATGGGCACTGAGCGTGCAGGCCTGTATATGGATGTGTGACGGGGCTGCACCACCAGGAAGCTGCAGGGACCAGAACAGAGGTGGACAATGCCCAGGCCATGTACTCTGCTCCCTACACTGGTCCCTGCCTCTTCCAGTCCTGAAGTGGGAGGGGGATCCCAATGAGATGCAGACTGACCCCCACCTGGAGGAGCCCTATGAGACTAGGCAGATTTCTGGGCAGATTTCTGATTTGGGTTGAGTTTGTTACTGCTATGACCTTTAAGTTGTCCCAAATGACTTTCTCAATCAGTAATAAAAACAGTTGTGAGCTGAAAGGATAGCCAGCAGAGAATTCTAAAATCATTGCTCCGAGTCCTTGATTTTTGGCTTTGGGCAGTAAAATCAGATCCCTACCTATCAACAGCAGTTGTAATAATGCCGTTAGCTGCTCCAAGCCTGGTCCTTCATCAAACAAGGAAATCAGAGCCACTGGAGCCAGAGAGAGAAGAAACAAAACAGTGGCCTCAGACAGCCTTTAATAAATGACACAGGCTGGTAGTCCATCAAAATAATCACCTTCCATCAGAATGACCACCTCCCCCAGCTCTCTCAGAGGACGTGCCACAGGAAGAAACGATGGGTTTATAAAGAAGAAAAAAACTGTGAAGGGCAGAGGCCTTTTCCTGAGATGGATACTTACTACATTCACTGTAAGAGCTTAAATAATAAATACATTCAAAATTCCAATTCCTTGAACAGAAAGTTAGGGCAGGAAAGGGTCACTGAGTAGAAGACTGAGCAGCAGAGATAATTAAACATACAGATGCTTCAGCACGGAAAATATGGAAAAGCCCTCACAAGTTCTTCCCTGCAGCTCTTCAGCTGTTGCTTGCTTTCTTTCTAAGGAAAGGAAGTGGTTCTTAAATAAATGTGCAGGATGGAGATGTTGAGCAGAAGCACTAGCTTCTTATTTTAAAGAAATAAAATAATTACCCAATAGAGAAAAAAGAAATCAACCAAGAAACAGTCTAAGGTCATGACACCATGTGTGGTACAAGGAGCAATTCAATCCATAAGGGCTTCATTACCCCCGCAATAGATAACATTCGGCTGGCTCTAGCTGCAGATCTGAATGGAGAGGCTCCTTTTTGTGTGGTCCTTCTCCCCGAGCTGCCTGAACCATTAGCCCCAATATACCCCTCTCCCTATTAACTGCAATTCCTTCCCGACTGTGCTACGGTCGTTTGTCTGGAAGCTCTACGGGGGCGTTTGATGAGTAGAGAAACAAGAAGAAGGGGAGAAAAGCGTCGGGTTAATGAGTTGTAGCAAATCCACACTTTGTAGTTGGGAGGAGGAGAGCTGGTGGCCAATGTTTGTCCAACTGGTTTATTTTTCGAGACCCAGCCTATTGAGGTAGGCTTGTTCAAGCAGGCTTCCTCCCTCCAAACACACAAACACCCCTCTGTTTGCCTTCAAAGAAAAGGGGACCAGCGCTAGATTTGCATGCGAATGAGGAGTCCCGGGAGGAGACGTCCTTGCCCATCAAAGGCCCTGGTAGCCCAGGGCCCGGCGGTCTTTGTTCCAGCACCTGCTCGCCTGCTCGGCCTGCCGGGCGCACCCTGCATTCCGGCGCTGGCGTCCACGGCCCACAGTCCACGGCCCACGGCCCACGCCTCTTCCAGCCCCTACCGCACGCCCCCTGCTCCCGCGTCCCTGTCCTAAGGGACCCGCAGGGTCAGCAAAGCGGGCAGTGAACCCTAGATCCCGCAGAGCGTGGACCCCACTGGAGGCAACACGCACAAGGTGGCTCGCGTTTTTTTTTCTTGTAGCCGGGGACTCAGGCCGCGCCCACCTGCTCGGAAACAGGTTTGCAGCCTCCAGCCGGCGCAGGCAAGCAGGGGCCCGGGTCGCGCGCCTTCTCGCAGTCCCTGAAGGGCGCTGACAGCTTGAGGGGTGGAGCTCGTCCCCGCACATTTTAAAGATGCACGAGCCAAGAAAGAGCTTAGTCGGGATTTCCTCCCTGCTTTAGTGCATCCATACATCATACAACTTTTTAAAAATAATTTCGTTCTTGGATGTCTTCGTAATTGCTCTTAGATCTAAATCACAGATCTGTGCAGTCGTAGCGGGCTCAAAGGCGCACCCATGTGACGCCCCAGGGATCTCGCCTGCTTCGCCTCTGAACCCTGGAGCCGGATCTGCAGGTTCTCCGGTCCGAGGTCTTCTCTCTCAGTAGGGTTGGGGTACAAGGAATTTTTGCATATATGATTTGGTCTGACAGTACTGCAATTTGTAGCTGTATATTTAGTGGTAAGTTTGAGGGTGTGTTTACGCTAACCTCTTACTTAACTTCTTCCAAACATCTCACAGAAAAAACAAAACAAAACAAAACAGAACTACATTTTGAGGCAGAGAGTGTTTCCCTCCCTCAAGAGGAATGAATGGACGGGGCGTTAGGGTATTACAGGTTTGGATGTAGCTCAGCAGAGGAGCTCTTGCTGGAGAGCACCAAGCCTGGGTCCCACCTCCAGGACCAAGGGGGTAAAAATGAGTTATCCCTGCAGACTAGTGGCCTACAATGCAGACTTCACTGATCTGACAACTTAAGCAGATCTTCAGCCACATACCTACACAGACATTTTCAAGAAACTGAATACAGATTTAATCTCCACTGCTAGCCACGTTACTAGACATTCAAATTATGTACTTCCTTGCTTTTATTTAAAGAACCAGTAACGCCTATAGTTTAAAAAAGTCACATTTTCTCAAAGACTAGAAATTGTAAGAAATAAGCCCTAAATGAAAGGCTTAAAGTTTGAAAAAGACATCCTACACCACCCACATTGTATAAATACAAATAGTTCAATAAACACCTCATGCATTAATTCGTCAAACATGTACTATCCTAAAGTTGAAGCTTTCTTTTACTCTGAAATTATTTGCTTACGCTACACTTTCAGTATGTCTTACCCTTAAGTGCGGTAAAAACCCCTTTATGCAACCACTGGTGTCTCTTTCACTCAAAAATAACTTTAAAACCCACTAGAGCTTTCAGATACAACTAATTTTCTATACGCAAATAGTTATTTAGAACTTTACAGCTTTTACACTGTCTCTATTGTTCTCTATTAAATATACCTGCCTTCTGCAGATATAAAGGTTAAAGATGTAAAGATTATAAAGACTGCAGATATAAAGATTATAAAGACTACGATGATGTTATCGTGTAACATTTTTGCAGATACACAAAATACCGCACTGAAAAATTAAAGGTTAGAAGTGAGAAGCTCAAAAATAAATTTTACAATTCCTTCAAAATTACTGTAGGCTAACTGTGGCTTCAATTTTAATACCTCAAAGTCTTTAAAATAGAATAGAACCAGATTTGGAAAAGCCTGTTAAAGTCGCTTATTTGTAGTCAGTTAAAAATACCTTCTGATTTCCTGCAAGTGATTTGGCTTAGGAAGTTTAAATTAAAAATTGTAGCATGTTCTCTTTGAAAATAATATGTACGTCTGTTCTGCACCGGGCTCCTGCTTATCCCACATGAAACTTTTTCTTAAAAGAAAAGAAAAATTAAGAAGGGGCAAGTGAAGCCAATTACTTTGGTGGCTTTTCTTTGAAAATTAAGCATTTTATTTCTGAAAAAGTGTAAAAATCTTACATTAGAATAGTACAATAATAATTGCCAGTAAAATTTACAATACTCCTTGTAAAGAATATGCAGTTAGGTACAAAATAAAAATTCCGCATGTCTATTATGATACAAAACACAGGTTAAAATAAGAAATGATAATTTCGACTTTTGTTTCTTCTGTAAACATGTTAACCATTTTCTCCTTTTTATGAAAGAGCGCACCAGACAAGTGTCCTCGGGTAAAAGTCGTTCTTTGCGACCCTTACTTTTTTGTTATTCTTCATTCGAACGTTATTTTTTTAAAAAAACGCCTGGACCTGAGAATTTCTACACCTCAAAAGGCTTCGACTGTTTTTTCTTTTTATCGGTTTGCCAAAAGTCAAGGAAGCCCCCAGTGCCTAGACAGGGCGAAGCCCCACCAGCACTCTCTTTCTCGCCCGGCGGGGCTGCAGCATAGGGCGACTTTGCATAAATAGGGGGACCCCGAGCCGAGGCGCGCGAGCTCCGGCCGACAGTCTGCTCCGCGAGTCCGCAGCGGCGAATCGGCGCGAGGGCGGGAGGCCCGGAGGAGCGCACGGACACCGACCCGGCGCGGCGAGAGAACCGAAGCCAAACCCGGAAAGCGGCCGGAGTCCTACCTTCTCCTCCTCACGCGCGCCCACCGAGCGCTCTTAACAATTGGAAATCCTAGCAGTAAAGTTCTCCACACTCGACAGGGCCGTCCCCGGGTGCAGCGTCCCCAGGGCGGCCGAGGAGGACACGGAGGAGGCGGCGGCCGCAGCGGCGACCACCAGGGAGCGCGTAAGCGCGGCGGCCGGGCCCACAGCC